ACTACGAACAAAATGGGCCAACGAATTGTATAAGTTATTAAAAAGGAAGCTTTGGAAATTATAAATAAAAAAGATAAAAACCCTGTAGCTATTCCGTACATGTTAAGGTTATATAGTGTCGGCGTTTGGATAAATACCGGACAAGTCGGAATTAGTCATAATTGGAATAAAACAAATACGTCACAGAAACAAAGTTCGTTACATATTGCATTCTATTCATATTTGCATCTATTAATATAGATTTAAATTATAAGATAAAAATTAAGATGGATTGAATTAAAACTACTCCTAGTAAAAATAAAGAAAAACGGGTTTTTTGTGTGTAATAATGTATAATATATGTATAAATATTTTGTATTGTTAAAATTAATAAATAAGTATTTACCTAAATAAATTTTGTCTTTTATTTAAAAAAAAAAAAACTCTTCCATTAAGGTTATATAAATTTAGCATAATACTTAAAAGTAGTTGAAACTGGGTAGCTGAAATTGTAGTAAGGTTAATTTCACATAATATCTGTTCCATACTCAAAAAATGTTACCACCCACCTTCTCACTTGTTCTATAAGATGAACAAATGATTATTCCTAAGCATAATATTGATCACTTATATACCCATTTCGTTCATTAAACGGGCTAAAATTTATACGTCTTCAATCAGAATTCTGCCATATTTTTCCCAAACTAAACTGAACATACATTAAATATTGCACAAGTTAATATTGAATGTCGTTTAAATTTAACGTTAGTTTCCATGTGTATTCCACATTTTCAAACCTTGTAAATGAACGGAAACTAATAATGTCACCATTCTTATTAATGACGAAACCCCCTTCTCATGCCACACAAAATATGTGATAATAACCTATAATTGGTGAATGTGTATTAATAACGAATCAAACAGATTAACATCATTAGGCATTAAATTTACCGCTTGATCAACTTTAGATTCACTAAGCGCGAAATAACCCAAACGTAGTGCGTATGCAATAATAGTTTCCATGATAGCTACAATAACATCTATCAGCTTTTGTACAACGGAAACTAATAAATATACGTAATATCCAAATATAAAGGGTCCAAAACAATTTGTTACGTTACTCTTCAATATTAAAATTAAGTATTCATAAAGATTTATTCAAATTTTATTAAGATGTTTATATTTCAACTGAGCAATTAAATCAGTTGTTTTTCCTCAGCCATAATATCTAATTATGTTGTCGTATTAAAGAAATAAAATTGTATAATTGCTAATTAACACACTTTTAATCCTTACTGTGAAAACGATAACCATTTGTAATCATTAAGACGATACACAGTATTATACGAATCTTAATAACTACAACTTTTTCTTTTCAATCGGATTTTGATTCAGGGTGACACAAATGTAGAGAAAAATCAATTATTTAAACACTTAAAAAAAAAAAAAAATTATTTGTTCACTTTTTAAATTTTCAGAATAGCAAATTTGTTAAACATATAAAAATATGAATGTATCATATAATTATATCTGATTAACAGTTTCTTTATATTAGCCGTTTTAATATCTAGAGAAAGGTTTGAAAACCGAAACTAACTCGTTCTGCGAAAGCCAACCACAGTAGTAATACAAAGTAAAAAAAAACATTTAAATCATTAAAAAACTAATGAACGGATAAAGAAGTGTAATACATTGGAATTTCGGAATAAAATTTTTTACGAAAAGGCTATTAAAAGAATTTAAAAAATTAATACAAATTAAAAAAAAAAAAAATTTTTTTTTTCAGAGATTTAGAAATGAAAATAAAAATGTTATTTTCTTTACATTTGTATCCTCCTGACACAAAACCCGATTAAAAAACATATGTTAATAAAAAAATTAAATATTCACAGAATTATTAGCGTTCATAAAACCATACAAGACACTTCGTATATAATTAATTGCATATTAAAATACCTATATTATAATATAATAGATAATTTATGTAAAAAAAAACTAATGTTATTGATGGATGTGCTACTGTTATATTTAAAAGAAAATTTGGGAAGGGAATAGATACAAACGTTTTTTAATTTTAATTTGTACGTTATGATAGAACAATGCTTACGAAAAACGATTCAGAGTGAAGGTCGATTATAAATGTTATGAAAAGCAGTAATTTTGAACAAGAAATAATATTATACATTATATTAAAACAATGCTACATATAACTCATTTTTTGTTTCACATTTGTTATAAAAACTACTTGGAACATCAAAAAACGACTACTTACAAGAGAATATAGTTTTAAAATTTAACAAGGTTACTTATTGTTTTTTGATTTTAACAATATTTCCTGAACAAAACATAAATGTAAAAATTAAAAACAATGAAATAGGTAATGTTTAGGCAATTTCGCAGTTTTTACGAAAATTTCTTTTCCGGTTTTTCCTAATTACTATGTAAGCCCCCTGAAAATCAATACATCATCTCCCTAAATCACTAACTAACTACAAAATCCTTTCAGATAGCATAATATCCTTGACACAACAAAACAAAATTTTTGATTGAGTTAAGTTAG